CGATGGGGAGCCGCGAGTGACATAGTTCTAGATGCACGTCGCCTTTAGTGAGTGGCCTCAGAATTCAGAAAGAAGAATTGTACAGTCCGTTAGAAGTGTGTGTGGATGAGGACTGTACCCAGAATTAGAGAATTCACTCACACAGTCAAGTCTCCAAATCCATGCCTCAACCGAGTCTGATCGGCAATAATAGAAAGAAAGAAAGAAAGAATAGAAAGAAAGATTAGAAAAGAAAGAAAGAAATAAAGAAAAAGAAAAAGAAAGCAGAATAAGAAAGCAGAATAAGAAAAATAGAAAAGAAAATAAATAATTTATGCATTTGTGCATTTGCATCATGAATATGCATAATACCATGCTCATTATCATGGGTAGTGAAAAAAATTAGAAAACAAAGATAAAAACAGAGAAATAATAGAGAAAGAACAGAGAGAATGTAACGGCCACTTTCTACTCAAGTACTCATGTAATATACATAATAAAATACATATAAAATAGTGTAAAGAGTTGGGCCCAAATTTTTATTTTTATTAAACATATGTATATGTGCTTTACAACCATATATATTTTTACATAAAATTATAATATGTACAAAAGTCGTCAAAAACATGGTGGACAGTGTAACCGCTTCCCCTCGCGTGTCGACATTCATCCGACCGCATCCTCACCTGGATCCCGCAAACATAGGAAATAGCGGGGTGAGCACTAAAACATTGCTCAGTAAGTAAATCCTCTACCCGTCTAACCCCGTAACTCTCACTCTAATTCTTTCCTTACAACTTCTCATTCAATTTCTCTCTCTGGTACTTCTCTCTATTTCTCTTTCTTAGAACTCTTTTCTATTAACTCTCTTTAGTAAGTCATGGCTCCATCTTACCGGGGGCACGGCCGAGACTCTCTCCCACTCTATGTGACCTCTACTCATTCTAGCCGATCGGACTCGGTTATGCATGGATTCGGAACCCTTGGCCATGTGAGTGTATCATCTCTCTCTCGGGTACTCGGGTATAGCCCTCATTCGGATGCACTCTCACGGGCTACACCACTTCTCTATCTCATACTCATGCCGCTTTCTCAATGCGGCGTACATGCGGGAATACTCTACCCATTACTCACGAGTTCCCCATCGCACAACCTACTCTATTCTCTTTCTCTTAGCTCTTAAAGTAGCTTATGCTCAAATTCTCTACTATGTCTCAAGCTACTTCTTAAGTGTATACTCNTGGTTCAATAATCATAGTGCAGCGAACTCCCTTTTCCGGAGTTCAACGTGGATGTAGCTTGCTCAAATAGGGCAAGTGAACCACGGTAAAATCCAGTGTTGATTGGTTGTGTTTTTCTTGTTTTTCTTTATGGTTTGTGATTGTTTCTTGGTTGATTACATAACAGTGGTATCAAAGCCAAAGTTCTAAGGTGTATCTAGGTTTAGAAATCGATTAATTCTTGACGAATTCGAAAATTAGGGTTTGTCAGATTTTGGGGGTTTTTCGATCTAAAGGTTCCTAGAGCTTTAGGACTTCGGATCTTGCTGAGTCTTGGGGTTAATTCATGATATTAGATCACAAACATGAGTCAGGGAGAGAAATCTTGGTTATTGCCTAGGGGTTGTACCAGTACTGTTCACTTCCGTCTTATCTGCCAAGTTTAAGTGTATCTTGGCTGGAAACCAGTAATCGCCTTAAAAACTGCCTGACAGTACTTGACGACCTCTAGTATAACAACACCACTTACACCTTAGACTATCCTGCCCTGCTGTTACAGTACGATGAGCGTTACCCGTATGGAGATCTCCCAATACGATGGCAAGATCGATTTCGAGAGCTAGAAGAAGAAAATGAAAGCTATGCTTTCACACAATAAAGTTGGTCTTGCATTGGAGAAGGATCCAAAGAAATGGCCCGAGGAGAAATTGAAGGAGAAGGAGGAGATTGACGAAGCAGCCTATAATCTGATCGTGATGAACCTCTCAGACAGCGTACTGAGGAAGGTTGATGGAATCGAAACTCCTTTGGTATTATGGGGTAAACTCAAAACTTTGTATGCTCTTCAATCTGCACCAAATTTAGCATTTCTTAAGGGTGCTCTTTTTTCATATAAAATGGATAGTAACAAGACAATAGAGGAGAACCTAGATGAATTCCTCAAAATAACCTTAATTTTAAAGGGCACAGATCAGGAATTAGGAGAAACTAGTTTAGCCATGATACTGCTAAACGCCATTACTGAGGATTATCTTGTAGTTAAGAATGCACTTCATTACTCCGGTACTGTCCCTAGTGTTGAATTGATTGTGGCTGGTCTTAAGGCTAGAGAACTTGAGTTAAAGGTCCAAAAACGAAATGGGAGTAACCTGTTAGTTAGGGGAAAACTAGACATCTTTCAATCTGGTAAAGGAAGTCAACCTAGCCAGGGGTCCAAAAATAAGAAACGGGATAAATGGAACAATAAGCATAAGGCAGAGTCAAGAAAATGCTTCTTCTGTAATAAAACTGGTCATCTGAAGAAGAATTGCTTTGAATGGCTTAAGAAATAAAAACAGGGAAACACAGAGAGTAACCTAGCCTCAACCAAACACTTAGTTGAAGAAACAGAGGTGCTTACTGTCTTTGTTTCTGACAATACAAAAGAGTGGGTGTTAGACTCTGGGTGCTCATTCCATATGAGCCCCAAAAGGGACTGGTTTCAAGACTTTGAGGAATATGATAGGGAAACTGTTTTCATTGGGAATAACAATGCCTGTAGGGTTAAAGGTAAAGGTAGCATAACCCTTAGACTTGTAGTGGGAAAATAATAAAACTCACCAATGTTAGGTACATTCCAGAACTCAAAAGGAACCTCATATCCTTAGGAACCTCAGATGAGGAAGGGTGTTGTTACAGAGCCGAAAATGGGTGGCTGAATGTGTATAGAAACCAAAATCTTATCCTGAAAGGAGAAAAAAGGAATGGGTTATACATCCTATGTGGAGAATATTATTCTAATTGTCTAAGTTCAGCCCTAGTCACCTCAAATATGTCAGTAATTGAAAGATGGCACCTTAGGATGGGACATATGGGCCATAGGGGATTAGATATCCTAAGTAACCAGGGCATGTTAGGAAATGATACTGTATCAACCATAGAGTTCTGTGAGAACTGTATTTTAGGAAAACAGCACAGAGTCAGTTTCCCAAAGGGCATACACCTGGCCAAAAGATGCTTAGACTACATACATTCAGACTTATGGGGGCCTGAGAAAGTAAGGTCTCATGGGGGCAGTAGTTACTTTATGTCCATTGTAGATGATTTTAGCAGAAAAGTGTGGATATACACCATTAGAACAAAAGACAAGGCACTGTCTAAATTTCAAGAGTGGAAAGCCCTAGTGGAGAACCAACTAGACAGAAAGGTAAAAACTCTAAGGACTGACAATGGATTAGAGTACTGTAACACTGAATTTGATAAGTTTTGTAGTGAGCAAGGAATCCTAAGACATAGAACAGTGAGAAGAACCCCTTAGCAGAATGGAGTAGCTGAGAGGATGAATATGACTCTCCTGGAAAAAGTTAGATGCTTGCAGTTCACTTCAGGTTTACCTAATACCTTTTGGGTAGAGGCCTTGTCCACTGCAGCCTATCTGATAAATAGGAGCCTCTCTACTGCCATAAACTTTAAATGTCCTGAAGAAGTGTGGTTTGGGAGAAAGCCTGGTTTAAGTCATTTGAGATTTTTTTTGGTGTGCTGCCTATGCACATACTGTGGGGGGAAAGTTAGAGCCTAGGTCCACTAAGTGTATGTTCCTAAGATATCAAAATGGTACCAAGGGGTACAGACTCTAGGACAGAGATTCACCAGGGGTAAAAATCATTATTTCCAGGGATGTAGTCTTTAATGAAGGGGTGTTCCCTTATAAAACCACTGGACAAAACACTATTAACCACACCCCATCTGAACATACAAAGAATCCATCAGAGATTACAACAATTGAGGTGGAGCCTGTGGGTCAGTAGGCTGAACCACCTCAATCTGATGAGGAACAAGCACCAGAAAACCAACCAGGACCAGAGGATTCTGGATCTGATAGTGAAGAAGCTGGAGCAGATGCCCTAGAGCCTCAACATGCCCAACTGGAACGCTATCAACTTGCCAGAGATAGAATAAGAAGAGAGGTAAGACCCCCTGCTAGATTTTCTTATGCTGAACTGATCATATATACTGCTTTGCTTGCAGGTACAGGGATTCAAAGAACAGAACCAGATTCATATGAAGAAGCAATGAAATCCAAGGAAAGGGAAAATGGAAGCAAGCAATGCAAGAGGAAATGAGGTCTCGTGAGGTAAATAGAACCCAGTCCTTGGTTCCCAAACCCAAGGACCAGAAACTAATAAAATGTAGATGGTTGTATAAGATTAAAGAGGGAATTTTAGCTATTGATCCTCCTAGGTACAAGGCTAGGCTAGTAGCTAAGGGTTACACCCAACGGGAGGGAATAGACTTCAATGAAGTCTTTTCCCCTATAGTCAAGTATAAAACCATTAGGTTAATGCTCTCCATCGTTGCCCATTATAACCTAGAGCTAGAACAGATGGATGTTACCATTGCCTTCTTGCATGGTAACTTAGAAGAGGAGATTTACATGAGCCAACCTCTAGGTTTTATTGACCCTAAAAAACCTGACCATGTGTGTATCCTGCACAAATCACTGTATGGACTGAAACAGTCCCCAAGACAGTGGTATAAGAGGTTTGACAATTTCATTGTAAGCATAGGGTACACTAGGAGTAGATATGACAACTGTTTTTATTTTAATTTGAATCAGAATCTGCCTATGTATCTCTTATTGTATGTGGATGATATGCTGCTGGTGAGTGAGTCTAAGGCTAAAATTCATGAGTTAAAGGGAAAGCTTAGGTCATAATTTGACATGAAGGATCTAGGAAATGCAAAAAGAATACTAGGAATGGACATTACCAGGAACAAGAGTAAACATGAACTAATCATTAGGCAGAAATCATACTTAGAAAAATGTCTAAGTTTGGTATGGCTGATTCAAAACTAGTGTCTATGCCTCTTGCAAACCATGTTGTGTTAAACAAGAGCCAATGCCCTAAAACTGAATCTGACTTAATCAAAATGGAATCTGTTCCCTATGCATATGTTGTTGGATCTATGATGTATGGGATGATTAGTACCAGACTAGACCTGTCCTATTCCATTTCCTTGCTGAGCAGATTTATGGCAAATCCAAGCAGTGACCACTGGACTGCCTTAAAGAGAGTGTTAAGGTATATTAATGGTACTCTCAATGTTGGTTTAAATTTCTATAAAAGGCATAATACACTTGACTTGGTGGGTTTTGTAGACTCTGACTTTGCAGGTGACAAAGACATAAGGAAATCCACCACTTCATATTACTTTACCCTTGGAGGAAATTGCATTAGTTGGAAGTCACAGCTTCAGCCTATTGTTGCTCTCTTATCAACTGAAGCTGAGTACATTGCTATTGTTGATGTGTTTAAGGCAGCTGTGTGGCTGCAAGGTTTGTTAGCTGAAGCAAAGTTGACTGATGGTAAGGTAACTATATTCTCAGATAGTCAGAGTGCAATTCATCTGAGCAAGAATCCAGTCTACCATGAGCGGACCAAGCATGTGGATGTTCGCTTCCACTTTGTCAGGGACTTAGTAACACAAGGGTAATTGATCTCAGAAAAGTATCCACTAAGGATAATCCAGCTAACATAGGAACCAAGGTTGTCTCACCTGCAAAGTTCAAGCACTGCTTGAACCTGCTGCATGTGAGATAACCTGTGAAGATCAGAACTATGAGGGAACTGGTTGGGTTTGCTACACTATGAATTCTCAGCATTCAAGGTGGAGATTGTTGTGAGTGAATGCTGAAACGACGTCGTATTGAGTATTAGTGGAACAGTGTCATTTTGAGACAGCTCCAAGATGATCCTGACTGCTGATTCAGAGAAAATCTAACGGATGAAAACAAGCCATAAATCAACACTATAAAAGGATCGAGTCTTTGCGCAAACTGCAGATCAAAACGCAAGAGAGAGAGAGCCTGTGTTTCGTGTTCTTCGATCTGTTAGGGTTCTTAATTTTCTGGGTTTGATTTCAGTTGTAATCTGTGGGTATCTTGAGTGGTTTTGGATTAATCAGTCAAGAGAAGAACTTCTGTGTTCTTGGTATACGAATTTCCAAGTTAGAGTATTCCTAGGGCAGATTATGGGTTTGAATCAGAGTTATTTGATTTAGGGTTTTTGGGTGTATTCTTGTAATCGTGACTGTAAGCGATGGTTCAATAATCATAGTGCAGCGAACTCCCTTTTCCGGAGTTCAACGTGGATGTAGCTTGCTCAAATAGGGCAAGTGAACCACGGTAAAATCCATGACTATTAAGCTAATATTGGTTGGTTAGTTGGTGGCTGAGCTTTGTGCTGTAAAAAAAATGGAAACCTAAGAAATTTTGTTGAAATTTTTTTACCATGATTAATATGTTTCTTTTGTCCTGGTGTAAAATTTCAATTTAATTAATTAGTTTTTTGGGTATAAAAGCTTGAGGATGCTACCTACAAACTAGTATACATTCATGTGTATATCCGATGTGACATTGTTTTTTATGTCAATTTTCTCATCCCTCGTTATTGAATATCTTAATGAATGATTTATCATATTACTCTCCCATTCAATTTTTCCATGTCAGTTTTGTTGTATATAGTATTATTTTAGAAAAGTTTGATATCTTCCTGAAATTTCAAAAACCTTCATCAAATATCCCTTATTATATTCCCACAATTTTTGTAAAATGCGTGGAATACTTGTTTAGACCTGAGCTTTTCGCAACACTCACAGAATGGCTTGTTCGTTCTCCTGGTTCTTTCTTTAGCCGGTTGTATGGTCCTCCCTGATGGGACCCAATAAGGCTTTGATTCTTGGTCTGGCTAAACTTGCTTTACATAGAGATAACAAATTAGCTAAGTCTTCAAGTCTGTTGTCTACCTCAAGAATATTCCCCTCATTTGTGTCAAGTCCATGGGGGAAAATTTTGCTTATTCCCCCATTGGCCATTTCTTGAAACTTCTAGTGTCGATATCCTCCTCTTTACCCCATAAAGCCTTAGCTTTTTGCCTCCCATTACTCCACTCTAGTATCTAGCTTCTCCAATTACTGTGGTTTTACTTCTTCTTTTGCTATGATCCTCATTTCTCAATCCCATCTCTTCCATAGCATCAATGTCTAGTCTGTTTCAATTCCCTTTGTAACCGAACACTTCCTTATTTTTGCCTATTCAACTATGTCTTAATAATAGCTAATTTTCATATAAATGTGTTCTCAAAACTTTTATCATGCTATGCATTCCATCTAGCTTGAACTCTATGCTTGAATTGATGATTTGTCACTTGTGTAAGCTATATTGTCTCATATCTGAAAGCACTGGACCGTAACCAGAACATTGAATCTAAAAATGGACAGTAATCAAAAGTCATTCTAGAAGTGCTTCCTGTCAATGAAACATCCCCTCTCTTCACCAAAAGAAAAAAGAACCCTATAAATCTTTAGCAGGTAGTTTTTTTTTTCTTTTGCTGGACCAGGTAAGTTCTATCTTCAAGGCTTGATCTATCTTAATGTAGCGAAGCCTCTACACTGGAATCTTCTCCCTGTAGATTTTTCTTGAGTAAGAAATTTACCAGCTTTAATGATTACCCCTTACACAAGTCCGGACTGCATAAGACATGAGACCAACTAGCTGCTTTTTAATCTCATCCAGTTCAGTGGGTTGGGCCCATAAACCCCAGTCAGTCACCACTCTTGGTATAGTGGATTGAGTTTTGATGGAAATAGAGAACTTCACCAATACTATTATCTAATACATTGATCATCTTGGGGTCACTTTCCTTGGCCTCTTTGCTTCCCTTCTACTGCTACTTGTTTTTGAATCCTGACTTCTTCAACATCTTTTATTGTACTTGAAGCGTTTGTGCTAACTACTAGTTATAACTTCCTCTTATTGCCACTTTCCATATTCCTCATCTTTCTTTCAAACTATTGACAATCGAATGAACCTGGTATGAGTTTCCTTCACCTTGATTTTAGCTTCCTTTGGACAGAACCTATCAATCGTGTCCTCGTGTATCTCTATGAATCGACCACATCTATTTTCTTTGCAGATATTCACCTTAGACATGGTAGGATGAATTTCCTCTCAATCTTTCTTTACGGATTGTTCTTTCTACTATTCACATTAGGATTCGTTAAATTATTGAGCATGTATCTTTTTCAAAACTGTTCTTTTTCTTTACTCAAGCTACAGTTGATATACTGCTTTGCTATCTTGGAAGTGCAATAGTCTGTGGGATCTCTTGAATTAGTGCTCAAGGCTTTCTGGATGTCTTTCCCATTCATCAATTAGCATTGTACCCCTTGCCACCCATTTTCTTGTTTCACAAGCCTACTTATACCTTCTTAACACATGTGCACATGATTTATTCCTGTTAGTTCTAATATCTCCATACGAGCTGGCTGGAATTTTTGTACAGTCTTTCAAAATTGTTCTCATCTTTATTAATGTCTCTTAAGGTCTCTGTGACTTTCATCCTCCATCCCCCCAATAGTTCCATGTACAATAGTTCTTTGCACAGTTGTTTTCCACTTGCAATTTCTGATTATGCTAATTATGGTCCTTTCCTGTTATTTTTTCCTGACACACCTGTAAGAAGACTGAAGATTCTAAAGAAATTAGTTTTAGGTTTCTCTAAATAGTTTATGATATCTTCTTTCTATGCAGTTCAACATCCCCTCCTCCACTTACTGTGTAGCTTTATATCTATTTTACTCATTTTTTTAAGTTACAAAATGGAGTAAATAACAAACCTACTCATGATTGATATGCAAATTTATAGCTTAATGTATGATTCTCAAGTAAAGCTCAAAGTTTTTTATTTTTCACGTATATAAATGATTAGGATGTATAGAAGCTCAATAGTGTGAAAAACATGAAATGGAGGGTTATTTTAGAAAGTCTAAAACGATTGCCATAATAGTGCTTAAATAAAATTTTCATTTTGCACAAACTGGAACTCTTTTTTGATGTGAAAAGTTAATAGTCTTTGATGTGAAATTGTTGCGAACCTACTCTGTTTTGTTTACTCAACATCCACATTTTTCCACATCAAGTTACCTCAAACAGTGATTGTAAATAATCTATTCAGAATCTCAATATGTATTCTTGGAAAATCTGAGTTACATTCAAGTATGGATACAACCCAAATACCAGAATTTAATTAACAAACAGCAAGGAAATAAATAACTAATTAACCTGGACTTCGAGGGCCAGCTCCCTCCCCTTTTTCTCAATTCTTCTCTGATGCCTTTTTACCTCTGCTGCTCCCTTTTATTCACCTCCTTCCCTAACGAATTTCAGTTTCAGCCTCTTAATCTGTTGCCACCTGTTGATTCCACCTTTTTGCTCTCTCACACTTAGTTGTTTTCCTTTATCACATTGATTCCCTGCTGCCTCTTCCCACGCTTCTTATTATAAACCCTCACTTCACGTGTTGTATCAGAAATCCACACCTGAAATGCTTCATAGTCTTTGAGCTCAATGTTGTGTATTAGTCCATAAAAACAAAATTGTGTGAATTTAATATGAGTGTGTTTGTTATAATTAAAAACTAAGATTGATTTGACCTAAGGTAACAAAAAAATTGGCCAAGAGAAATGGAACCCTATTTATTGGCTAGGAGATCTCGTGTATTTTTGGTTTCTTGGCCCTATTTTGGGCTATTAGTTATGATTCTTCAATTAGGCATTATGTTTTTTTTTTTTTTTTTTTGAGTGTTCAGAGGAGCCTTTAGTAATCTAGGGGTTTCTTTTAGACAATAAGAGCATACACATTTTTTAGCAGTATGACTATCACATGAGATAATTTCTCAGTGGCAAGGATGAGAAAATTCAATCTCTATGACACATAGGAAAATTCTCATGATTAGGATAATTCACTATCCTATGGAATATCACTCATGATATATCTCATGTTCGACATGAGTATATCCATGATACATCTTTTTACTTTAATCTCATAGACCAACCTCAAAGACATTTATCATTGCTATTTCCTATTTATCTTCGATTCTTTCAAGGTTAAGTGTATGGTCACAAGGGTTTCCTATCTTGGCTCCTATAGGTCTAAGATAGTTTAGTCAACTCTTGATACAATAATGTAGACCAATAAATTATTCTTACTGCATTAAATATAAAGCTTTGTTTCTTAATGTTTATGTCTTTTCCATTTTGTCACGCTTTAGTCTCTTCAAGTGTGTCTCTCCTCCCTGTAATAATAGATAAACTAAAATAAAAGACCCACTTCAAATAGAAGAATTTTCAATTTGGGAACAGACTTGGTATTCTTAAATTTTATTTCATCAAACTCAAATTTGGTTGCCAATGTTTAGATATATTGGACATAGTTCAAAATTTCTGCATATTCTGAGTTAAGATCTTACTTAGATTCTTTAAATTCACAAATTTTCTGATTGGCCTTTAATTTCGGCCCTGTTGATTTCAATGTTAATTCTCAAAACTGTGTACATTTGAATTTCAGTCAAGGAGTTTGGTACTGAGAGCCAAAACAAAAGCTATCGTCCAGTTTTCTTTAGAAAGGTTAGTGACAAAAGATTTCCTTGTTGATGTAAATCATTGTTCTGTTTATGTAACTATCACGGTTATAATTCTTCTGATCCTGGAATTTTTTCAGGAGTTTAGAAAAATCTCTTCACAGAGCATCTCGCCAGCAGAATAAGTTAAATCCTGCTTTCGAGAGGGTGATATTCAGTATGATATTTTTGACCTTATGTTGGTGAAGCTTTACTTGTAATTTATTGATTTTTAAATTATGTAGGTTGCTGTTTTCGAGGAAATAATTAAGGGTGTGAAGGTAAGAAGCGTATGTTGCTCTTCTATTCATATTGTTTCCCATTTTCAAATCTGGGCAAGGAATCAAGTATATATTTCTTTAAAGCTAAAACATAAATAAAAATCCTTTTGCAGGAAGTAATATTCAACATGGAATGATGTTATTTTCATCCCTCCTGTTTTGATGTTTCAACAGTCCCCCCACCCAGCCATAGCAACTGGAGAGGCTTAGGTGATGATATTTTCAGACTAAATTCTCAAATTTTTATGCAATTCTTGTCTTTTGCAATTTTATCTTTTGTCATTACTGCATCATATAAATGAGACATTTCTAAAGTTGTGGATAAATTTGATGTTAATTAGAAATTACTAGTGCAAAACTTGTACCATATCACCGTTAGTTTTTGTTAGATTTTGATTAGTTATACATTACCCTTATCTACTTCTTATCTGATTGGAGATTTATATATAAAAAGTAATATTTACATACAATTCTGTATCGAAGCTTTTTGCTATTCATCTTTTATTGTTACACCATTCACCCCTGTTAATATAGTGACTTTTTGAGTTTCATGTTTCATTTATTTTGTGCTATATCATATTGTATATAAACTTATTATTGTCAATATTATTACCAGTAAATATATCATGGTTATGACTTAAGCTATTTGGTTCATGGGTTCGGTGCTAGGTGTTGTATTTTAATCTCCCTTGAAAGGTGATGTAGATCTCTGAAGATCTCTGCAATTACTGTCCTCAATCAGTGCGGATTTTTTTTGCTACGTTGAAGCTATTACAATTCCCTTCTTATTCATCATTTCAGGCTTAGTTAGGTTGCTGATTGTCTCCCATACCAGGATACTAAAGAGCTTTGATACCACTTGACACAGACGAAAGCAAGAGTGGTCATATATGTTTGACGCTACACGCTCCTAGAATCCATTAGGGTAAATAACTCTGGAATCCACCAAATTCCTTGAATCCACAAGGGAAAGAAACTCTCAAAGAGAGATTTTATATTTCACCAAAAGTGCCTTATAAGGTTCATAGTAATCCTCTTTATAGTATAAGAGCTTACACAACTGAAATAAGGAAAGGATAAAATTATGCAAACTAGACCCTTAAATCAAGACAACCCACACCCTAACTTAAGCCTAAAATGATGATATAAGAACGGATTTTAATAAGTTAACGTAGCAAGAAATTCTGATTGATTGAGGACAAATTTTAGGAGATCTTTTAGAGATCCTATGTCAAAGGTAATTTTGGAGAAACATGAATATCTACCTAATAGATTCCAAGACTGTTACATCTTTATCTGTTGACCTCATTTCGAATTTCAGTTGATGGAATCTAAATATGTTTTGCCTCTTTAATCCGAATTAGGATCCTCTCCTACTCTAAGCTCTTATGAGCTTTTAAAATCTAGTGACTGAACATTTATAAGCATTGCGGGTAAGATTTATATCATGTTTTTATTTTTTTTTACAAACCACCATCACAGCGTTATTTTGTTAAAGTAAAAGCTCAAATCAAGAGACAATCTTGATCCCTTTAATCCATGGCTTAACCTAAAACAATCCCTTAACTCTTTGTCTCACTCAGTTTCAAAATTAGAGAAAATAAGGTTTGAAATTTGTCATCCTAGTTATATTGGCTAATGGGGGTCACACATGTTGCCACTTTTAGATGTGAGACCATTGTTTTAAAACTCGATCCGTTGTGTGAGAGTTGCCAAGCTGATCGAGTCACAGGTCGATCGATCCAACTAGTTGGATTGGTAAGTTGGCAAAAATATAAATCCCTGTAAGTTTAGTCTATTACAAAAATATCCCCAAAATTTTATTTATTTAAAAATGCTAAAAAAAGTACGAATTATTTCCTAAAGATTAAATATCATAAACACCATTAAAAATCACAAAGTAATCCCTACAAGTTTAAAATATGGTAGAAACTCCCGTAAAACCTGAACCGAAAGAACTGATGGCTATGCTACCTATTTGATATCTCATCTTTGCTAAAATCTATGTCATGCGAGTTGTACCAAGCCTTCCCTTGCACCCTATTTCAAGTTTTCAACCATGTTTCCTTTCGAACCAAGACTGACTGCTACACATTCAACCGTTACTGCAATTCTTGATACATGATATTGCATGAAAGCAGATGTACAAAAAGGAGCATCTCCAATTATAATTATATTAAATTCAGCAAACAAAATTTGATTCTTGCTGCGCTATCAACCTTCATTAATCTGTCTTACCATTTTCAGATGCTCGCATGTACCTATCTAATTCTATTCTTCCCTAACAATGCACCTGAACTACCTGGCATTAACTAAGCACCCACGCTCCCAAGCTGACATAAAAACTATTATGTCAATTCAATATGATTGCAATAATATACAAGCCATTGTTAGCAATTTTCTCAATCTCAAACCATCCCAGCTGACATCAATTCAATATGATTGGAGTAATATACAATCATTATTAGCAATTTTCTCAAGGATTATGTCAAGTAGTAAAAGTCATTTTTCTAACAGTCATTAGAGCCTTGACAATGAAAGTTTTTCAGACAGCTCTCCATGAATTTCAAATATTATCTTGTTCATCTAAATTCAAACATAGACCATCACAACGTCAGGCCAATGTGGCATATTCCTATTTCTTATTTCATGTAAGCTACAAAAATAGCATCTTCGGTAAACATCTACACTCAAGTCACATTACACTGGATACTCACATCTACAAATGATAACAGTTGAATTTTTCAATTCAAAGCGCTAAAAAAATGTATTATCATAATGAAGGAAAAAAGTAGTGGATAAAGAACTGTTATATCTCATCTTTTGCTAAAATCCATATCATGTGTAGTTGTACCAAGCCCTCCCTTGCACCTTGATTATATGGTCATTTCAACCAAAATGAGACATGGTACTGTACTGTTTTCCTGATATTTGCATGACTGCCCAAGGAGCCGCCAATTCAAAACTAAACTTAGATGAAAGAAAAACTAAGGTTAAACAACCAATTGAGAAACAGATATGAGAACACACTAAGGCCAGATTCTCTATAAAATTTGCTAAAATTGTAAAACCCTGTTGCATTGAAAAGTGACAACAGAAACCAATATTTATTAACGAAAACCATCTGGGAAAATAAAAGAGAGTTACTAAAACTAGTTTTCTTTTCTCATCTTATTCACTATGTATTATCTACTCTAGGTATAATAACTGCATTCACATTTTAACCTTTTAAGTTTCCAGAATTGAAAGAAGTCCTTACTTATTGTTGTGTTGAATGCTGAAACGACGTCGTATTGAGTATAGTGGAACGGTATCGTTTTGAGATAGCTCCAGATGTTCCTGACCGTTGTATCAGAAAAATCCAACAGATGAAAACAAGCCACAAATCAACATTATAAAGATTGAGTCTTTGCGTAAACTGCAGATCAAACGCAAGAGAGAGAGCTTGTGTTTCGGTTCTTCGATCTGTTAGGGTTCTTAATTTTCTGGGTCTGATTTCAGTTGTAATGTGGGGGTATCTTGAGTGTTTTTGGGTTAATCAGTCAAGGGAAAACTTCTGTGTTCTTGGTATAGGAATTTCCAAGATAGAGTATTCTTAGGCAGATTACGGGTTTGAATCGGAGTTGTTTGATTTAGGGTTTTTGGGCGTATTCTTGTAATCGTGACTGTAAACGATGGTTCAATAATCATAGTGCGCGAACTCCCTTTTCCGGAGTTCAACGTGATTAGCTTGCTCAAATGGGCAAGTGAACCACGGTAAAATCCAGTTGATGGTTGTGTTTTTCTTGTTTTTCTTATGGTTTGTGATTGTTTTCTTGGTTGATTACATAACAGTGGTATCAAAGCCAAAGTTCTAAGGTGTATCTAGGTTTAGAAATCGATTAATTCTTGACGAATTCGAAATTAGGTTTGTCAATTTGGGGTTTTTCGATCTAAAGGTTCCTAGAGCTTTAGGACTTCGGATCTTGCTGAGTCTTGGGGTTAATTCATGATATTAGATCCAAAACATGAGTAGGAGAGAAATCTTGGTTATTGCCTAGGGGTTTACCAGTACTGTTCACTTCCGTCTTATCTGCCAAGTTTAAGTGTATCTTGGCTGGAAACCAGTAATCGCCTTAAAAACTGCCTGACAGTACTTGACGACCTCTAGTATAACACACCCACTTACACCTTAGACTATCCTGCCCTGCTGTTACAGTACGATGAGCGTTACCCGTATGGAGATCTCCCAATACGATGGCAATCGATTTCGAGAGCTAGAAGAAGAAATGAAAGCTATGCTTTCACACAATAAAGTTGGTCTTGCATTGAGAAGGGATCCAAGAATGCCGCGAGAATTGAAGGAGAAGGAGGAGATTACGAAGCAGCCTATATCTGATCGTGATGAACCTCTCAGAGCGTACTGAGAAGGTTGATGGAATCGAAACTCCTTTGGTATTATGGGTAAACTCAAACTTTGTATGCTCTTCAATCTGCACCAAATTTAGCATTTCTTAAGGGTGCTCTTTTTTCATATAAATGGATAGTAACAAGACAATAGAGGGAACCTAGATGAATTCCTCAAATAACCTTAATTTTAAAGGGCACAGATCAGGAATATGGAGAAACTAGTTTAGCCATGATACTGCTAAACGCCATTACTGAGGATTATCTTGTAGTTAAGAATGCACTTCATTACTCCGGTACTGTCCCTAGTGTTGAATTGATTGTGGCTGGTCTTAAGGCTAGAGAACTTGAGTTAAAGGTCCAAAAACGAAATGGGAGTAACCTGTTAGTTAGGGAAAACTAGACATCTTTCAATCTGGTAAAGGAAGTCAACCTAGCCAGGGGTCCAAAAATAAGAAACGGGATAAATGGAACATAGCATAAGGCAGAGTCAGAAAATGCTTCTTCTGTAATAAAACTGGTCATCTGAAGAAGAATTGCTTTGAATGGCTTAAGAATAAAAACAGGGAAACACAGAGAGTAACCTAGCCTCAACCAACACTTAGTTGAAGAAACGAGGTGCTTACTGTCTTTGTTTTCTGACAATACAAAAGGGTGTTAGACTCTGGGTGCTCATTCCATATGAGCCCCAAAAGGACTGGTTTCAAGACTTTGAGGAATATGATAGGGAAACTGTTTTCATTGGGAATAA